TACATACCCACACATATGTACATACATACCCACACATAGGTACATACATACCCACACATAGGTACATACATACCCACACACACACAGAAATGACATTCCCTTTACAAACAGGAACTATAAACCACGGGAGAACTGTCAGCTTCTGTGACCTTTAGTAACCTAAGTCTAATTTTTCAAGCTATGAAAGGTCTTTACAGGGACAAACTGCGCCCTGTGAGAACGACTTAAGTAGACAGAGAGCATGCTAAAACAGAGGCGTGTTTAATACCAGATGTTTACCCCCAATTAATCTACCAATGACACGGCAAATCTTTTCAAAATTCCAGTGTATATTTGATAGCATCTGTCAACTTGATCCCAAAACTCATCTAGAGGGAAACAAAGCCAAGAACAGTCGGGACTCTGGAAGAACCAGGGAGGGGACTCACCCCACAGCAGCTTAGGACTGCTCACAACAGTGCAGCAATTACAACAGTTTGCGCTGAGTCAGCGAGAACAGGGACCTACGCCCCCCCCCCCAACACACACAGGAAGAGCACTACACACGTGGGTTCTCATATTTGCAGTCATTTTGCACATGACTAAGGAAGTGTTACAAGTGAATGTAAGAAGGCACAGAGGAGCCTGCTGATGTACATGAAAACAAAACCTTCCTACAGCTTACAACCTGTGCAAAACAGAACCCTGATGTTTAAAGTCCTGCTATGAAAGCAACACCTTAAGACTTACTAAAAGACAGTATTAGAAACCATCTCTGTTGTATTTTCAAAGTGTCACAAAGGAGTCACTCCATACAACAGGGCCCATGTGGGAGGCTTATTGAGGGGAGGGGGGAGAAGGGAGCAGAGACCGGTCCCTGGATGAGAGTGAAGAAAGAGGTGGGCAAGGCCCACCTTTTACAATGAAACACAGTGAATGTGCACAGGGGGTGCTCTTGGTGGCTGCAGCTGAGGATATATCCTGTCAGGACCCTAAGGGCAAGCCAGTACAGGTGCCTAATGCTAACACTCTCCATGGCACGAGGGTAGGGAAAGATGATTCAAACAAGGCACAAGCATGCGAACAACAGAAGGAATACAATGGGACAGGCTTATCTAGCTACATTTGAACTTGTGGCTCAAACAAACTTCTCAGTAAACCCAGACCTGTCGGTACCTTCCTCAGAAATCAGAACACACTGGATTCAGGGGTCATGATATGCAAACAGTGACCAATCTTGCTTCGCAAGGAACACTTATTTTAAGGAAGGAAACCATTCTTGTATAATCTGCTCTTTCTAGCCTTGTATCACTTGGTATTAATCCTATTGATGCAACTCCCCCAGTTCTGGAAGCTATATTCATTCATTCTTCATTCATTCATTCATTTTTGGTTTTTTGAGACAGAGTTTCTCTGAGTAGCCTTGGCCATCCTGAAACTCCCTCTGTAGACCAGGCTGGCCTTGAACTCACAGAGATCTGCCTGCCTCTGCCTCAAGTGCTGGTACTAAAGGCGTGTGCCACTACAGCCTGGCTTGGAAGTTAAGCTTTAAAAAGACATTTCTGTCATCTATTGTATTCACCTGTTAATACAGGCAGCATCCTGCCCCCAGCTGCCACCCCCAGGAGTCACATGAGCACTGTGGAGTTGAACGGAAGTTATGGTCTACCCACCAGAATTACAGGAGAGAGGTGGTGTCATGCCTCGAGAAGCACTGTCCACATTCAACCTGACGGCCACAGGTGACAGACAGCCACAGTGCTCAGACATAGGGCCTTTGAGACTGGGATCCCAGACTCCTGGGGACAGATCAGGCTTTCTGACATCTGAGCCATATCTACACGACCAAAGGTTCTCCCCAGAATCTAAGACAGGGGTAAGTATAATCAAATGGGCAAGGACCGGGGGGATTCTCCTCACAAACTGTCTATGGGATTTTAATAGAGGAAGTGATGGTGTTTGGAGGAGAGCCATCCTCGCCTGTTTCGTTAGTGCCAATTTACATGACGGAAAATATCTCCTCTGCCTCTTTCACACAGCAAGCCTGTCTCACGGCCGTCATGATGCCCACATGCTTTAGGCGTGCTGTGGTGAACAGATGCCTGGGAAAACTGCTTCAGCCTCAAGCCAGCTGTAAAGGGAGAAGGGACGCCTGCAGGAGCATGCCAAGATAACTGAGACAAGGGCGTGGGTGAGGGGCGCTGCTGTGGTGCCTGGCTGCACCCACATCCCTACTAGAGAACCAAGGACAGGAATGGTGGGAGGCTACAATGCAACGTGACAAGCAACAGCAAAAAGCCATGTTTAGAAGCGAGTTTTTCCAGAGCAAGGCTGGGGGACTCCTTTTGTAAATACCGTTTTCTAACAAGAGGTTGTTCGTTCTCTAGACTTAATCTCTGGCTTGCATGCATCCTTCCGTTTTCACAGATGCCTAAACACATTTTACTAAAAGCTGCAGGCACGTGTCAAGGAAAAGCATTAAGTTAACAAGCAATCCAGTTTATAGTTTTAGATTAAATTCCCATCAGAAGGCAGTGAATTCCGCGGCATTCATTAGGGTCATCACTGCACGTAGTAAAGGCTGGCATGTTTTAATTCCACACAGCTGGCTCTTGAGTTCTGGGAACAGGGACAGCATTGCCAGAGTCTTATATTCTCCAAGATAAAGCACAAGATCTTAAACACATCGCCCTTCCCAGCTCCCCACTGCCTACATGCAGGTGCAGAAAAATGGGGTGCTGTGGGGCACAGAGATCAGAAGCATGATGTGGTGAAAGGCTGTGTGCTAGTTGGGATCACCAGCTGGATAAAAGGATGTTGTCCCTGAGCAGAGAACAGGTCCGTGAAGAAGCATTCCACGTTACCTTAAAAACACGCTTGGCATGAACAGACTGTGGCTTAAGAGTCCAGGGAAACTGAGAGAAATCTACTCATAAACCACAACTAACACGGACACCTGAGATCAGGAGGGTGTCAAACACTGGGGGCAGATTCTGGGACTCCCTGGGCAGGAAAGGAGGGAAAGAGCAAGTGTGCCACCATGTTTCCCACTTACTTAGTGTAAGTAAGAAGCAGAGAAGGGACTGTGACCGAGGGCACAGAGCACATGGAGGGCCAGATGCTGAAGCAGAGGGCGATTTTGCTCCAGTACAAAGAAGGACGGATGCACGCTAGCAAAGGTCACCAGTAAGATGGGGGGGGGGGCATGAATGGGAGCTCGGGGCCTGCACCCCAATTTCCTGGCAATAATCAATTTCCTTCAGCTGTGATTTGTAAGAACTACACACGGTTCCTAAACTTAGAATCCATTACTCCTTCGGTTTGAAAAGGTGGGAAAAAGACTTTTATCAGCTCAAACCAAGTTAAGACCCAACAACATAAAAAGAAGATGTGGGACCCTGAGGAGACTCTGGAAGGCTCTGGAGCTCTGGCTTTGGCTTTCATACTGGCAAGAACCAACATGAGGAACCAGGATCTTTCTTAGGTGACTTCTGGAAAACTGTCACCAAAACGGAGGGCAAATCAGAGTCAGCCTTCCACATCTGTACATTCAGCTAGCCACAGCCACAGCAGGAGGAGAAGCAATGGTGGTTAGCAGTAAATTCAGAAGTCACAAAAAGCCAAGTTTGCATCTGCCACACGTCAAGCACAACACGTCTACAGAAATGATGTGTGGGGACATCCCAAGGTAGCCTACAGCGTAACAATTACCTACACGGCTTATGCATCATCGTATTAGCGTCTTTAATCTAGAGCCGTGTCAAGTATGTGGGAGGACGGATGTGGTTTCTGTCAAACGCTTGGCTTTATTTATACAAGGCACTAGGGCACCTGTGGATCTGGTATGTACAGAGGTTTCCAGACTCAATCCCCTGTGGATTCCCTGATACGTCTACCTCCATTTGATAACGAAGATTTCTAAAGTTACCTTTAGGATTTCATATTAACTTAATGCATATTTCTAAACTGAAAATGCTATTTCTTTAACAAATGTGTGTTCTAAAAGTCAGAAGGTTACTAAGGTTTGCAAAGAACATCCCTCATTAGCCAATTTGGGGGTGATCCCCACCTCCCTTTCCTTATTTAACCTGCCAACCTGCGTCCATTGCATGTGTCAGCAGATGGGGGTGTGCTGGGTCAAGCTCACTGAGATCCACTTTGTTGAGCAGGACTGCTGTTTACTGGGAGCTCCTTTCCCACAATCAGATGCTAAGGAAACACGGCTCCCCCCACATAATCCCTGCTGCTCCTCTGCTCCTCCTTTACCAGCCCTGCCTTTTCATTCCATGAAATTAGTAACCACTGCCACAGCCAAGGCTTGGGCAAAATGAATCCATCCTTGTCAAATCAGATAATAGATTGAATGCAGGGAGGTCGAGCACCCACTAACTGAATCACCAGGAAGGGGGGGGGGGGTGAGGAGATCAACATTCGTTCCAGCCTAGTCTCCCTTACACAGGCTTCTCACTACCTCATCCTGGGGCCAGGGACACTGGCTCTGATACGTGCTGACAGTCCTGGGAAGACAGAGACTCGGAGAACTGAGACCAGCCCTTCTTAATCTAAACTAAAGCCAAATTAACTGCATATCAAAAGTCACTTTACAAAGCACCTCTCACCTCAGTTTCCATGAAGCCTAAGGTAGGTGATGGCTTCTGGGAAGGGAATGTGGAGGAGCATGGGGCTTCTGTTCTCTTGTCATACATCAGCAGCTATGGCAAGGTAGCTTTTTAAATATGGAGCCCAATTGCCAGGGAATTTTATCTCCTGTGATTTATCCTCAGTCTCTATTCCGTGATGTGGCAAGCAAGCAAGCAAACAAACAAAAAATCAAACCAACCAAACAAACAAACAAAAACCTTGAAGGTAAGGTCTAAAAGGACATCCCATACATTGTATTAGTTAACAGTAGTTAATAAAGAATTATTATACAGACAACAATTACTATTAGTCACTGGGGATTCACAGTGTATGGAGGCCATTCTTTAAGAATGTTACATTACTAATAACTGATTCCAACTTCAGAGTTGAATAAATATTTATTCTCCCACTTTGAGAATTCGAGGGTCAGGGTGGCTCTTACTCAGATAAAAGGGGGTTTAATTCCAGAATCTCTACTGACTAAAGTTTAACAGTCTAAATCAATGTTCCTTAACGAACGTGTTGTTGGACTCCCAAGATGAAGACTGTCTAGGGACATTTTTGGCAGACATGACCGAGGACGGATGCTACTGGGGTCTGGTGTGTGGACGCATTCCCCACAGCAAGGAGTCGGCTAGTCTAAACTGTCAAGTGCTGAGGCTGGGGTGCTCTGCGGATGAACTTCCCAGCAACCTCCTCTCCTGTCCACTGTGGCACCGCCTCAGTGGGAATGCAGGGCAGCAGAGAACACGCACCGGAAACTCAGTGTCGCAAAAGATGAAGCAGAAGTTCAGTAAGTTGATGGAGTTTATTCGGTTGTTCAAAACCAAGAAGTAGCAGTCAATAAAATTACTATAATCCAAGCAGGAACGTTCTCAAGGTTATAGTTTAGAGTACAAGGCTTTCTCGGTTGGTTGGTTGGTTGTTTTTTTAAAATAACTGTTTTGCCTACCTGTATGTAAGTGTACCTCGTGTACACATGGTGCCTGCAGAGGTCAGAAGAGGGCACTGTACCCTCTAGAACTGGAGTTAGGGATGATTGTGAGCTATCAAGTGGGAGTGGGTGCCTGGAACCCACTTCTGCAAGAGCAACAGGTGCTCTTAGCCACTGAGCTATCTCTCCAGCCCCCGAGCTGCAAGTTTTGAAAATGACACACAGTTAGCTCCACTACGGAATTTCATACCATATCTGCCTAATCTCAGAGGCATGGGAAGCAGCCGAGTGGTCCCTGTGGGTACCACTACCACTTTTTCCCAGTACCCTTTCCCAGCTGAGGAAGACCTCCTCATCTGAGCTTCAGCACGTGACCACTTCTGACCTCCTCCTTTTACCACATATCCATTCAGGTAACATTCCATGGCAGAGCTGGGACCTTTATTGTTCAGGTAAATCCGACCCCTTTCTTGGTGACTCATTATTGCTACTAGCCAGACACAATTTTATTTTCCCATGAGAAGATTTCATTCAGCTTTATAGAGATTAACTTCTACAAAGAAGATAAACTGTATCAAATATTTCAGCTGCCAAGAACACTAAAAATTGTATTTTCTGAGATATTTTTCGTTAATCTCTACCCCCAAATTGTTGAAGTCCTTTGCACTTCGTGGGATCAAGTAAACTGTCTGAAGGGCAGGAAGTTCTAAAACTCAAAAATGGCTGTTGTTTATGCCATCAGTTCTGTGAATTACCCAGGCACCTGCTGGGGAGAGCATGCCTTACCGTGAATTCAGTTTGGTAGGAACCAAGATGCACCATGACCAAGGCAAAGGGGCCCAGGCACTAGAATGTGGTGCAGATTGGCTCATGACCATGCACCATAAACATTTAAGGATAAACATTTAAGGATGTGTTTATTAGAGTTGAAAGTTAAGATTTGCTTGCATTTATGACCTGAAACCGAGCTACGCAGCCAATAGAATGTGTATGCCCACACTTACAAAGGTGGTCATTCTGAGTCTTCTCAATGACTGGCTGTGCCATGTGGTTCAGGACAGTAACGGAGGTATAGTGGCTGCTACAGAGTCTATGATTCCTTCATGTCTCTGTCAGGCCCTTGCATAGTCACTAAAAGAACAGTTACTCATCCCCTAGAGTCTACCTGGCTGTGGATGTGTGTACTGTCCACCCTGCCTGATCTTCACCAGCAACTCTGGAAAGCTATGCTTAGAGAGCATGCCCTGGCCTCCTAGGCCACCAAGGAGCAGAGTCCAGAGTCCAGCTGGGTTCACTCACACTGGTGCACACCATCCCTCCCTACTTCCAGACTTCACAAATGTGGAAACCAAGGGGTACATGGCCCCCAGTGACTATTAGGAATGTTTTCTAGAGGAAAGCAAAATACCTCAGCATTAAAAGAATAGTATAAAATTAGATTTGCCCCTAGAATATGAAGTTCTGTAAAATTATTGCTGTTTTAGCAAGTTTACCAATTTTCCAAATGAAAATAGATTTTTCACTTGCAGCAAAAACTAGATTTTAAATTGTGGCTGCCTACAAATGTAAATATTGGTGGCTATGATTAACTAACATATTTATTTTACTTTACATCCTAAGGTAAAAGAGCTTTACAATGCCAAATATCAGATACTAAAACTATCATCTTAGCGAGATCAAAACTATGAGGCATATTAGTTATTAGAATAATATCCGCACAGAATAGTAAATAGCAATAAACTATTGCAATATGCAATAAATATGCAATAAACTATTGCATCTAACATAGAGTATTTCGTTCACAAATATGGTACTACAGGAAAGAAGTCAGAACTAGAAAAGCACACACAGCGATCTCGTTTGTAAAAGAGCAGAAGCCACCTGCGGTTTTAGGGCAGGGTGGTGGTTACCTGGTTACCACTTGGGTTGGACAGTAACAGCAACAGGATCTTCAGGGCTCTAACAGAGCACTGCTTCTTGATCTGGGCGCTGTATAGACAGGTGTTTACTTCGTGAAAGTCACCAAACTCCACATGTAAAAATTTATGCATGTTGAAAGAATAAAAATAAAATAAAAACCACTAGATCCGGGGGTATACAGGTGTGTAGTATTATGTATCAGGCCCCAGGCTATACTCAGCATCACAAACTATGTAATGAGTAGGAAAAGATCTAAAACACTAAATAAGCTCTATCTGCTAGATGTCTCGATGTCTCATTTATCTGACTGAAGAGAACTGGGTTTGACGTTAGTTCTACCTTCTTGGAGGACTTGAGTATCAGTGCTATTCAGATGTTCAAACATGGCACTCTGGGGAGAGGAAGTAGTCTCTGCAAGTGAGGACACCTGCTGCCAAGCCTGACATCAGGTTCAATCCTTGGGACCCCGTGGTGGAAGTAGAGACCTGAGTCCCATAAGTTGTCTTCTGACCTCCACACATACCTGGTGGCATGTCTGCCCAAACACACAAACTGTCTGGCCAAGGAGGTGCCTGCTTCTTGGTTGATTCCAGATCCAGACAACCAACATTAACCATCACAGTTATGTTCCTTTGCAGCCTAGTGTTGTAAATATAAGAATGTCCTTAAATTTTTTAAAAAAAATATTTATTTTGTGTGTTTGGACCCAGCCTGACAGGAGTGGCACCTTCCTTCCAAACCAGATCAGGGGGGATGGAAGAGGAAGTGTGGGTCTGCCTGCTTGCCTTTCCTCTGGCCGGCGAGTTCACCTCTCCTGTCACCACCCTGACAACAGAACCAGCTTCTTCAGGTTTCCCCACAGACTGGAGACCAGAAGCTCCCCAGGAATCTTCCACGCCTTCAGCTCCAAACTGGGACCACTGAGACATCTGGGCTCTGGACATCATGGGCTGAGCAACCTCCAGACTCTGCCTCTCGGCTGTATCCAGCCATTGTACCATGCAAGCTGATCTAAGGAACCCCCTTTCAATAATACTCATTCTGTGGGTTCTGTCTCTTTAGAAAACCCTGACTAGTACACTAATAAAAATGATTTTTTTAAATGTTGATTGAAAAGGATGCCGATAGTTAACAATTTCAACCAGACACTACCGACCATCTTAGAAAAATCGTTTTACAGCTAACTGTTCATGTTTAACAAAGGTGCAACCGCATAGAAAAACAAATGCAGAACAACTCCTGTGCTCAAAAAGCAAGGAGCGGAACCCAGGTGGCAGGCTGAGGAGTGATGAGCAATGAAAGCTGCCCTGGGCCACATGCACCTTCCCTTAAGGCGGCCTCCGCCCACCCTCTCATCACCGACCACATTCTCCAGTGAGGAGATGCACGGAGCTCCGCAGTGAGTGCACTCAATGATTCAGGAGCTGCTGACTATTAATGCTCTGCTGCTGGGATCTAAGAAAATGATAAACTTATCAAGTTCATAGAGGAAGCCTATATTCAAATTCACTTTCGATTTTAACCCATCAATGCACTTGAGCTAAAAGTTTCTCATACAACTCAGCAGCCAGTATGTAAATGTGGACGCCGGCTTCATGTAACCAGAGCCCATGGTGACTTTTTGATGAGTGACTCTTTCCAGAGCCCTCCTCACCAATATCACTGCACATTAGCCCATCGCTATGGCTGCCATGCAGCAGGCATTTGATACTTCCCAAGTACTTATTGCTTTAGCTCCTACCTGGCAGCTGTCCCAGGTCAGGCCCAAGGCAGGTAAGAGCATCCGTTTAAGCATGGCACACACCCTGCCAGGCAGCGGGAGAGCAGAAATGCGCGAGTTCCGGCCTTTGAGAACAAGGACAGCCAGTCCAACCCTAATGCAGCATTCATTGGTGCGCGCCACTCTACGAGCTCAGAACGGACTTCTCTCTGAGGCTAGGAGCGAGAGGACAGTCCTGAGAGGTGACAGCACAAGTTAGTAGAGGAGACTAAGACACTTTCAACAAACGAGGATGTTCCCTGCAAAACCACAGAACTGAGGGGGGAAGGCTATCTGGGGAGTAGAGAGGAAGACAGCAGTAGAGAGGTGAGGAGCTGGGGGGGGGCAGCTGGAAATGGGGAGAGAATAAAGTACAAATGAGCCTCTCCTCTCACAGTGAGACAAAAGCAAAGGTCCTGGCAGCCACACTTTCCTTAACTAGAACATGCCACCAATCAACTGCAAAAAACGTAAACACTACTGGACATCGTCACACAGGATTCAAAGAGGCTAAGAAACTTTCTCGGGAATCACCAGTGCACTTCAATGCAGACGTGTCTAAAACAGCAGCAGTGATTCAGAGGCAGATGACGCCCCATGATTCCCCTCTGCAACCCATGACCGTTTTCAGCTCCACTGACTTCTTTCCCATGCACCTCTACAGCATGCTGTCATAACCGCCTCTGCAAACAAACTAGTCATCATAAAAGCCAAGCCTCCACCACCGATGTTCTGAAGAGGAGCTCTCTGCAGAACACCTGATTTCATCAACCACAGGCGCTGTCAATTCAACTGCAAGGCAACTCCCTTTTCCAATCTTTTAAAGTGTGTGTGTGTGTGTGTGTGTGTGTGTGTGTGTGTGTGTGTGTGCGCACTCTGTATACAAGTGTGAGTGTGCACATAGAGGCCAGAAGCTGACATCAGGTGTCCTCCTCTACTGCTTTCCATTTTATTTGAGACAGGTCTCTCACCAAATGTGCCTGGCCAGCACATTCTGGGGATTTGCCTTTCTCTGTACCCCGGTGCCAGGGTTACAGATGTGCTGACTTGCCACTGCACCCGGCTCTTACGTAGGTGCTGGGATCTAAACCCGGGCCTTTGTCCTTGTGCAGCAAACACTTTACCCACTGAACCGTCTCAGCAGCCTGGCAGCGTCCACGGGCCGAGCAAGAATTGTATTAACTCACTGTGTCGCCACAGCAGCCCTTGTCTGGCACTGGATGGATTTTCAAAGTCACACCTCTGGGAGGAAGGACTGTCGGAAGTAAACCTCGGCTCTGGTTCCTGTTCTCTAGGGAGTTTACTACTGTGGCAACCACAGGCCAACATTCTGGGGCCCTGGGCAGCATACCCACCTTAATGACCTGAGCCAACGGACCCAGCTCTTTGGACATTTTAAATGTCCTCAGCAGAGGGTTGCAAGTGAAAAACTGGGTCAAAATTCAAGCAAGTTTAATTAAAATCACAATTATAGATAAAAAATTCTCCAATACTGATATGTTAAATAAATAAAATTTTGCTTTAAGGACAACACAAATTAAATTTTTTTCCAACTAATACATGCATTGAGCCAAAATTTTAATTATTATATAAATGTAATATAGATAATTACATTGATAATTATAGATGCCAAGTGCTTGAACCAAGATTTCCTATTTTAATACTCTAGGTCCAAAATTATTCTCCACCTTCAGTTCTGTAACCTCGGTACCTTTGTTTCCTCTAACACAAGACTGAGAACTAATCACAAATACAGGCATTTTATACTTAATTTCCCACAGAACAACATGGATAAGTTTTCTCTTACTGTTCTAACAGGTCACCAAAGGCCTCTGCAGCTAAAACAATGTCAATAAGTACAGTATCAACAATACAGTATCTTAGATCTGTTCACTGGTACTCAGCAGCCACCCTGGATTCTCTGCCAGAGTCACAGAAGCCAACATCAAGCAGTGAGCAAGTTCCAGGGAAAACTGTTTCCAAGACATTCAGGCTGCCTACAGACCCCATGGTGATAAGACTGATGTTACACTGCCTTGCTGGCTGCCAGGTCTGCCCCTTGCTTCTAGAGGATGCAGTCACTCTGTGATTTAGGGTCCTCTTCCTCTGTCTCAGTCCCTTCTGCCCCTCTGCCCTCATCTCTCTCTAAGTCATTCATTAGAAATCCTCCCTTCTGCTGTTAAGGGCCCTTGTGATTATACGGGGCCCATCTGGATAATCCATGATAATCCCTCTTAAAGTTCTTGCTTTAATTCTATCTGCAGAGTTCCTTTGCCACGAAGGCAACATATTCACAAGTCCCAGAGATTCAGGCACAGGCCCCTGGCATGTGGATAGGGCAACTACTCCACCAATCAGTGAAAATGCAAGAGACACTCTATTTGAAAGTGTGAGCTCTTCTATTCACACTACCCAGCTAAGCAGAGTCACACACACTGTCGTGAAACGAGTGTTAGAGAACACAAGAAATATTAGTGCCAAACATTTTAATTGCGGAAACTGGGAAAATCCCAATACTCTGAATCAATCCATCTCTGTTTTGGAAGTATTCAATGTAAGAATCGTGAATCAGACTTCTAATTTTAATTCAAGATATATTATACGATATACTGAAACCTACTTGAAAGACTCACAGAAGAGTGCTGATAAGGAATTATGCTGTTTCAAATCCTAAAATCCTAAGTGAAGCTGCTTTTAAATATTTAAAAAACATTCCCATCTATTTCCTAGTATTCATGTAGGAAACTAGACTCAAGTGTTGCAGGCTACATCAATCATTCATCAAGTCATCCCACTTATTTCCAAGCCATCTGTTAGTTGTTAGAAATTGTTAGTGTGATCCTCTCTAAAGTATTTGTACATGTGACTCAATGTCTGAGCTAGGATTTGACTAAAGAAGCCAAACTCGTCCATGGCTCCGTTTGGCTGAAGGAAGCAGGTGAACACGTCCCTCCACACAAGGCCCCCGACAGTGCTGGAAAAGCAGCTCCTGGTCCCTTCTGCCCAACTAACGCACATTCAATTCCGGCTCTTGACCTAAGCGCATGGAGGTTTACACACCCACTATTTCTACCACCACCTAAGCATGAAAATTAGTTATTAGATGGAGTTTTACTTTCACTCTACAGTGTTTGAAAAACAACTGGTCAAATCCTAGGAATCAATGCATTAAAAAGGTGCTATTAAAAGTTCACTGCATTACTCATATTTATAGTCAATAAAGTCCATGCTCATATCATCTGTTGTTAACTTAATATCTTCCCCTGGAGTTCTTACTTTATTTCTTTTCAAATTTGGTCCTCTACTATATTCTGATTCACTACCATAGTCTCCTCTGTTTGGTTTTGTGTTCTGACATTGACTACTTGACAACTTAATCTGTCCATGTTAGCCATTACAATTTTCTTATTCCTAAAAACAAACAAACAAACAAACAAACAAACAAACAAACAAAAACAAACGTCACACAACATCAGTTAGAATATCATCCACTAAGGTCAAACCCCTAAAAACTCCAGCTGGCCAACTGTTACCTCACAATCCTGCACCAGTGAATCTTCACGCCATCACTGGACATCCAAGCTAAGTTTATATAAGTCACAACACGCTGCTTACCAAGGCTCAAGTGCCTCATTATTGCAACTCTGGATCCTTAAGAATGCTGATTAACTCTAGTATTTACTGGATGCGAAGTAACCAATTTTTTCAACATAAAATGTTATGAGATTTTCTTGTTTATCTTCCAAACCACCCAGGCAAAACACCAGTGAGCCAGGCCTCTGGATGAGAGACTCTGCTCTCCAGCAACCCACTTATATATCATCTGTGCACAATGCACAAGGTCCACCCATAAATACGGCTCATGGAAGCCATTTTTCTTCAATTCTTCTTGAGAACCACAATAAAATATATTTCAGATGTCACTCCCTCTGGCTCCATGAAATCAACAAAAGCTATCATGCCATCTTCAAAGTCTTCAATATTGCTTTTTAAGTAAATTATCATACCTCTATGTGAAATAGTTGGAGCTTCATCAATAATGACTCCAATGTTACTGCTTTGATTTTTAAAGTTTTCCAAAAGGTGTTTTTTCATCTCAGTAGATATGTCTTGTGAAGATCAGGACCATACTTTTTTTTTGAGACAGGATTTCTCTCTGTAGTTTTGGTGCCTGTCCTGGATCTTGCTCAGTAGACCAGGCTGGCCTCGAACTCAGAGAGATCTGCCTGGCTCTGCCTCCTGAGTGCTGGGATTAAAGGTGTGGGCCACCGCCGCCTGACAGGCAGAGGCGGGCGGTGAGTTTGAGGCCAGCCTGGTTTACAGGGGACCATACATTTAAACTGA